GGGGGTAAATGATTAGTGCTGTTAAGCGCTATTGAACTCTTTAATATTTTTAATAGCCTCCCAAAAATCTTTTGGGTTTTTATTTTCCAAATTCATTAAATTTTGAAGTAACATCGACTTGAATTCATTTTTCTTAAATTTAACTAGTTTTTTGTAGTTTTTGTTCAAGTTTTTTCTCTGTATTCTCAAGTTTTTTGGTATTTCAAGTTTTTTCTCTGTATTCTCAAGTTTGTTGGTATTTTTTCAAGGATATATAAGAGATAATTAAAATGTACCTCCCAGTTATTACCTACATCATACCAATATATATAATAGTGAGTCCCTATTAGTTTGAGCTTTAGATGTTGACAGGTGAGTGACCTTCCTTTCCACGCTCTACACTAGTGAGCGTGAAGCATGCTGGGAGCGAGCGCCCTCTGTGTGGAGAGTGCTTCCTTTCGTGATATTTAAATTGAAATCCTTACTATGATTATGAGATGCTGTTTCTGATTGGTCTGATATCGAGTATAGTGCTCGCGAAATAATGCAATTGTTTTTCTCATTTTGCTCGTGTTTCTTCGTTAATTCGTTGTCAAAACATTCGGTGCAATTACTCCCCCAATATTTCACTAATAAAGGGGTTAACTAAGTCTAAGTATCTTATAAATTTATCAGAATGCCGTGTGAGACCACAGACTTTTAGCCATTCACGTTCCACTTTTTATAAGCGGTAGCGTGACGTCATAAATTAAAGTCACAAAAAAAAATTCAGTTCTCAAATTGCGGGACGTCTAAAGTTTAGCGCCTTGGTATTTTATAATGTTCATCGCCATTTTAACATTTTAAAGGATTTAGACATATTCTCAACTTTGTCTTGACATATGGTTTATCAATCATTTGACTTGAAACATAAGACCTAACCACGTGACGTGCCAAATGTAACAGCGGCGTTGATTGGAAGACTTTGGGGGGAATTCCATCCGTGTTATTTTTAGAACGTAGTTTGAATGCGGACTATGAATGGCAATGTATGAATGGAGAAGGCGTGTTAATTTTGTAGTAATTTTGTAGTGTTGTGACTATTCGTTTGTATTGATGTCTGGAAAGTCTGTCAGGAAATGGTGGCATGGGTTGTTCTTCTTAATCTTGGTGAGTTAATTATACTAGGACTAGGCATTCGTTTGCGATGGCTGTTTCGCGTCGTTTTTAAGCCCAGATAGGCTTGATAGACGCATGATGTATCATGGATGTACTAGAAGATCTACGTAACACCGGCACGGCGAGGACTGTGGGCCGAATGATCAGCGGAAGGAGGCAAACCTACAGGATTGTACTCGGGGCTAGGCGACACAACCCGAGCCAAGAGAGCGGCCCGAAATCAGCTAGGCTGCATTCCTATTATTTGTTTGGCCCCTCGATCCTGGGGAAATAATTCTTGGCTTCCATGTTGTATCACTGAAATTTACATCCGGGTATCCGGAAGGTAACCTGGAGAGACCCAACATGACGCGGAAATAAGTTTATTTTGGAGACCCCTAACCCCAAACGGAGAATACATGTACATCCAAATCGGAAGAAGTCACCAGATCAGTAGCCGTGGT